ATTTTTTCGTTAGCTTCATAATGATTTTGGCGAAATTATTGCATACACAAATTTTCACTTGTCCCATATGGCAAGATGAGCGTTGCTATTTAAGCCAAGATCGCAACTTCTGCCTATTCGGCACGACATATATATATATATATATATATATATATATATATAATTTATATATATAAAATATATATATATATATATATATATATATATGTATATATATATATATATAGATATCAGAGATTCGGTGGGACACCCTTACAGACTCCTCCAGTAGACCAGCTCCTCCCAAAGAGCACAAACAGTCCCACTGGGACAAACCGATCATGGAAAAAATCTCCAACGTATCAGGAAAGGACAAAGCTCGTCTGGCAGTGAAGGCACTATATTCTTTCTTTCAACGCACCGGCAGTATCCCACCGAGACAGGATGACCCAAAAAGAAAAAGAAAAGTTTCTCTTTATATATTTAGTAATGTATACAGGGTAAGGGGTTACTAGGCTCTTGCTCCCGGCATTTTAGTCGATTCTTAGTACATGCATGGCTTGCGGAGGAAGAATCCTGTCCCACTTCCCCATGGAGATAAGAGGAAATAAACAAGAAGAAAGAACTAGTAAGAATAGAGAGGAAAACCCGGTTGGCTGTAAATATATAGATGCTTGTACATGCATGCGTAATGTGACCTAAGTGTAAGTAAAAGTAGCATCTTGCATGTTTATGAGACAAAAAATGACACCAGCAATCCTACCATCATGTAAAACAACTACAGGCTTCTGTTTTACACTCTCTTGACAGGACGGTAGTACCTCCCTGGGCGGTTGCTGTCTACCAACCTACTACCAATATATTATATATATATATATATATATATATATATATATTTATATATATATATATATATATATATATAAATATATATATATATTATATAAATATATATATATATAGTCGGACTTGAGTCCTGGAAATGGGAAGTACAATGCCTGCACTTTAAAGGAGGGGTTTGGGATATTGGCAGTTTGGAGGGGTATGTTTGTGTATCTTTATACGTATATGCTTCTAAACTGTTGTATTCTGAGCACCTCTGCAAAAGCAGTGATAATGTGTGAGTGTGGTGAAAGTGTTGAATGATGATGAAAGTATTTTCTTTTTGGGGATTTTCTTTCTTTTTTGGGTCACCCTGCCTCGGTGGGAGACGGCCGACTTGTTGAAAATATATAATATATATATATATATATATATATATATATATATAATTATATATAATATATATATATATATATATATATATATATATTATATATATATATAATATATATATATATATATATGCAAAACAACCACTCTGAAAGAATAGAGAAATTCCAAGCGCTTTCGTGACTACTCACATTATCAAGGAACTATGAAAGTAAAGCATCCAAGGAAGCTATATAAGGGGTCTGGTCGGCACCTCACTATCAGATCCCACAACGGTTTAAACACCTGACCGCGCGCCGACCCAACTTGGAAAGGTCCTTTGGCACAACTCACCCCACAAACTATTCTACCAAGAAATAAGAAATTTTAAAGATTATTTGTCCAGTGTATTATTAAATTCTTCCCAAATTCTATTAATTATAAATGCATCTAATTTATATAAACCAAAGGAAATATTCATATTATTGTCAAAACTGCTTTTTATGAAACAAGATTCAATTATATTCCTGTCGACCATGGACTTGCTTGATACTACTTTCTCAACTTTTTGAAAATCAATTGGATGGTTAAAATCTCTTACATGAATAAATAGAGCATTGGAATCTTGTCCAGTTCTAATGCTATATTTATGTTGTTTTAATCTTAGTTCGAGATTTTTACCAGTTTGACCGTAATAAACTTTATCGCAAATTTTACAAGGAATCTTATAGACACATCCATCAGCATTTTGGTGGGAATTCTTTATCAAAAGTTTTTTTACTGTATCGAGATTTTTGAATACAACTTTAATATTAAAAGTCTTAAGAAGAGAAGGCATATCAACCAAGTTTTCATGGTAAGGGACAACCAACATATTTTTTATTGAATAAGGCTGGTTGTCCCTTTTTGGATTGTAAAAAGTATTTCTAGCAACTTTAAAAGATTTATCAATTACATTTCTTGGGTATTTTAAAATCATTACCTATTTCATAAATTTTGGATATTTCCTCATCTATGAACTCAGGACTACAAATTCGTAAAGCTCTCAGAAACATTGATGAGAAAACAGACAGTTTGACTCTATCTTGATGCGAGGAATAATAGTGGACATAGAACAGTTATTAGTAGGTTTTCTGTAAATTTTAAATTTGAATTCATTATTACCCTTAATAATTAAAACATCTAGAAAAGGCAATGAGTTATTTTCTTCAAACTCAACAGTAAAGTTTATTGAATGGGCTAAGCTATTTAATTTTCCAAGGAAATGGTGTATATCTACATTTTTGGGCATAAGACACAAAATATAAATCAACATATCTGAACCATTTAGCTCTATTAGGGAGGATTGTGTTAGTAACCTTGTTTCAAAAAATTCCATGTATAGGTTACTAAGAACAGGTGAAAGAGGATTTCCCATTGCCATACCAAATTTCTGAGTGTAAAATTTATCATTAAATACAAATTTTTGCATCAACAATGCAAAGTTTAATAAGTTTAATGATAGTAGGAACTGGCAATGGTAAATCATAGTTAACGAGTTCTTCAGATAAGAAACTTAATAAATCATCAACAGGAACTTTCATAAACAAGGAAGTACATCAAAACTAACCATGTTAAAATTCATTTAGGTCAGTCAAGGAGCTTAATTTATCAACCAAGTCTATGTTGTTTTTAACATTAAAGTTAGAAATTTTGCCAACAATAGGGCTCAAAATATCAACAAGCCATTTGGATAATTTATATGAAACTGACCCTATGGAGCTAATAATTGGTCTGACTGGATTCCCTGGTTTTGTGTTTTTTATTAGTCCATACATGTAAGGTAAAGATGGATTAGTGGAAGTAAAATTGGGTTTGACTAAGTTCATCTTTGCCTTTCAGTAGAAGTTTTATTGTTTTATTGAAATTGCTGTTAACGGTTTCTAGGGGATTTTTCCTAAGTTTAGAATAGGTTTCAGTATCATCTAAGAGATTATTCATTTTTTCTTGGTAATCATTTTCTTTCATAATTACTATTGCATTTATTTTGTCTGCTTTAGTAAGGCGCAAGTTTTTATTGTTATTAAGTGTATCATAAGACTTAAAGAATCTTTGAGGGCAATTGGGAATGTTTGGTTTTAACATAGAGCTGTATACCATTCCTTTACTAATATTAATTTCATCAGAGGATAAATTATTAAGGGTAATAATGAATTCAAATTTAAAATTTACAGAAAACCTACTAATAACTGTTCCTATGTCCACTATTATTCCTCGCATCAAGATAGAGTCAAACTGTCTGTTTTCTCATCAATGTTTCTGAGAGCTTTACGAATTTGTAGTCCTGAGTTCATAGATGAGGAAATATCCAAAATTTATGAAATAGGTAATGATTTAAAATACCCAAGAAATGTAATTGATAAATCTTTTAAAGTTGCTAGAAATACTTTTTACAATCCAAAAAGGGACAACCAGCCTTATTCAAATAAAAATATGTTGGTTGTCCCTTACCATGAAAACTTGGTTGATATGCCTTCTCTTCTTAAGACTTTTAATATTAAAGTTGTATTCAAAAATCTCGATACAGTAAAAAAACTTTTGATAAAGAATTTCCTCCCAAAATGCTGATGGATGTGTCTATAAGATTCCTTGTAAAATTTGCGATAAAGTTTTATTACGGTCAAACTGGTAAAAATCTCGAACTAAGATTAAAACAACATAAATATAGCATTAGAACTGGACAAGATTCCAATGCTCTATTTATTCATGTAAGAGATTTTAACCATCCAATTGATTTTCAAAAAGTTGAGAAAGTAGTATCAAGCAAGTCCATGTCGACAGGGAAAATAATTGAATCTTGTTTCATAAAAAGCAGTTTTGACAATAATATGAATATTTCCTTTGGTTTATATAAATTAGATCCATTTATTTAATTAATAGAATTTGGGAAGAATTTAATAATACACTGGACAAATAATCTTTAAAATTTCTTATTTCTTGGGTAGAATAGTTTGTGGGGTGAGTTGTGCCAAGGACCTTTCCAAGTTGGGTCGGGCGCGCGTCAGGTGTTTAAACCGTTGTGGGGTCTGATAGTGAGGTGCCGACCAGACCCCTTATATAGCTTCCTTGGATGCTTTACTTTCATAGTTCCTTGATAATGTGAGTAGTCACGAAAGCGCTTGGAATTTCTCTATTCTTTCAGAGTGGTTGTTTTGCATATTCTGAAATCACCTGTTTACTGTGATCTTAATTTCCATATATATATATATAAAATATATATATATATAATTTTATAATATATATATATATATATATATATATATATTTTAAAATAATATATATATAATATATATATTTAATATATATATATATATAATATATAAATATATATATATTTTATTATAAATATATATATATAAAATAAAAATTATATATTTAAGTATATATATATAAAAATAAAGGAATCTTGAAACCCTCACCAGTAATAGTTTCGAATCCGCTGAAATTTGGTCTTCTCTACACACACACCACACACACATAACACAACCACACACACACACAAAAATTTTATAATATATATATATATATATATATATATATATATAAAATAAAATATATATAAAATATATATAAAAATAATATATATATATATATACCAAAATGCGGGCAGCCGTGATTAGATCCTGCGACACATTCTCATCTCTAAGATATAATCTGCAGGTATATGAATGTCTGCTTAGATCACTAACAAATATACCTTACTAACACTGTAGAATGAATACGGTGCTGTATTACTGTTTTTTTTTTTTTTTTTTTTACTCCATTAATACGGGTGTTATTTCGTGTGTCAGGAGAGGAGGATGAGAAGGAGGTTGAAGCCCACAAGATGGTCGGACGGAAGAATCGAATTCTCTGTTGGATACCCACCAGTGCTGAGAATCACTATAAGAGAGCACGACATGTGAAGAACACCTGGGCCAGGCACTGTCATCTTCATATCTTCTTCAGTAACATTAAAGGTACAGGTCGAGGCATGTATGGAGTGGAGCACATGTACTCTGAATGTAATCTTACACGATTCACTATTCCTCGTGTTATATCATGGCTATGCAATATATAAGGAAAATGATGTTGATAATAATAATAATAATAATAATAATAATAATAATAATAATAATAATAATAATAATAATATGTAGCAGCAGCAGCAGCAGCAGCAGTAGTAAAATAGATTAATTATAGTTTTCTGTCTCTGTTTCAAGCACCGGAATAAAGAGCATACACAACACTTCACTTGTAATAATGAGGACACGTAATGAAGACCTACAGAGAGTTGGTCTCTGCTACACATACTTCATCCTCTCTCCAGTGCAAAACCCCTTTCCACTAGGCTATGCATTGGTGCATGCCTAGTATGCTTATGCTAATATATAATATATGAGAGAAACTAGAAGGGTACATGCATGTCAGATACACTGTCATACCTCAGAAAGAGTGATACCATATTGGCTTAGTTCATGTCAGTGCATCTTCAACTTCTGCACAGCTTACATTGGAGAACATGCAGGGAATGATTATAAATTTAACCCCTTATATAAGGAATCTTTCTCAGGAGGATGAACTGAGAATCCTGAGCCTGCACGTCCTTGAAAGATGTAGAATGTGGGATGATATGATTGAGGTATGCAAGTAGAAGACAGGTTAAAAAGCAAAAGACATAATTACGATACTAAGGATGTCTAACCAAAAAGGAATTCCAAGATGAATAAAATTAGATTTAGAAAAACTATGTTGTTTTGGCAATAGAGTTGTACATGAGTGGACTACTCTGCTAAGTAGAGGTCCTGTAGCTAATACTTTGGGCAGCTAAAAAAACTGAACGGAAAAATATATGGGTGAGACGAACCTTACTATTATTATTTTTTTTATTATTATTTTTAGCAATGACACAACACTACAAACAACACACTACAAACAGCACACTACAAACAACACACTACAAGGGCTGTCACCTTTTCTTTGTAACTTTCAGACACGGAATTGGATTCTGTGAAGCTGGAAGTGTCTGATGGGTATGAGAACCTCTGGGGAAAGACCAAGGCTGCTCTCGTCTATCTCCACAAACACCATCTCCACCACGCTGACTGGTTCCTGAAAGCTGATGATGACACGTGAGTTCAGGGAGAGAAGCTTAAAGTACACATATGCAGTGATGGAGGGTAGATGAGAGGGAAAGAAGAATAAGTCACAATATAGTGGCTGAAGCAAATCACATTAGACTACGTTTAATTTTTTCCTGGATTGTTATCAAATAACAACTTCATAATGGTCCATGGCGATCCGAGGTAATTATGGAGACAATTATAAACACCTAATATTTCAGGTTCGTGATTGTGGAGAACCTACAAAATATGCTCAAGTTGTATGATCCAAATTTTCCTATTTTCTTCGGCAACAAGTTGAAGAAGCCAAATATTTCTCAGGGTTTCATGAGCGGAGGTGAGTATTTTGGGTAATGGTGAAAAGAACAGGGAAGCGATACTTGTGGTGGTGGTTAATAGTGGGTGGTGGTGGTTTAGGGGATGGGTGGTGATAGTGATGGTGGTGTTGGTTGTTATTGTGGCTGGTGGTTGTCAAGAGTCTTTATTTTTAGTATTAGAAAATTTAACCAATGTTTCAATATTAAAAGAGTAGAGTTATTTGTCGTACATGTTATATAACTGACTGTGGTTGTCTGGCAGGAGAGGTCTGTGTCTTATCCACTTGTTGGCCTCCACCCATCAATTTAATAGTTATAATTATAAACATAATTTTTAAAGGGGGTGCACTGGTATGTCAGCGGAAGGTTTCGGTCAGATGACCAAAAGCTCCAGCTACGCGTCAGGAAACACATGTCCTGTTTCCTGGCAAACGATACCTACCTACCTACCTACCTACCTACCTACCTACCTACCTACCTACCTACCTACCTACCTACCTACCTACCTATCTAGCTATCACCAACCTGGGAGTCCCATGGACTCTCTAGGAGATAAACAGCTAGAGGTGCATATCTCTTGTGTCTTGAATCAAGAGCCCTTCACCGGCATCAAGACCCACACTTGAAAGCGTAAAACCATCCTAATTTCTCTCAGTTATCTTGGTAAATTTAATAATTTATTCATTTAATAATTCTCCCCCTGGAGGGACGGTGGGAGGGGATGGAGGGAGGGGATGGAGGGAGGGGATGGAGGGAGGGGATGGAGGGAGGGGATGGAGGGAGGGAGGGGAAGAAACAGCTCAACAACAGTTCGTTGTTTTTTTCTGAAGTGGAGTCGTGGGTTCAGGGGAGGTTCCTTAACTCCACTGAGAAGGTCTTCTTGATCCAGGGAATCGGACCTGTCTTCCCCTTTCCTTAACATTATTATTAATTATAATCAAGGGGAAGCGCTAAAACCCGTAGGATTATACAGCGCCTGGGGGGAAGAGGAATGTGGAAGGCATTCAGGCTTAATTCGGGGAACTGGAGCACAGATCCAATTCCCTAAATCAAGAGCCCCTCACCAACATCAAGGAACCTTCCCTGAGGGGTTTCCTTTAACTGAATCTGAATGCTTCCCATTTCCCGCCCAGGGTGCTGCTTGATCCCTGCGGGTTTAGCGCTTTTCCCGTGAGTGTAATGATAAGGAAATAGATTAATGGGATTAGGAATATTTATCTTCCGCTGCCTCTCTCCCCTCTCTCTCTCTCTCTCTCTCTCTCTCTCTCCCCTTCTCCCCTCTCTCTCTCTCCTCCCCTCTCTCTCCCCCCTCTCTCTCTCTCTCTCTCTCTCTTTTACACAGGGTTTGACAAGGTTAAGGATCCCTAACTTTATTGACAAGCTATTACAGGTTAAGGTTTTGTAGATGAATGGTTCAGAGAACCGACATGTTGATAATACTTAGGAATTCTTCGCTTGCCTAATTCTTGGGCACGACCTACTTCCACATTGAACAAATGTGACACCACCTTGACTGCTGCACCTCTCCTGCCATACGGTTTATAAGCTGTTTTCTCCGCATATGCCGCATTCTATTCAAGATTTATGGACTGAAAACATCGACTCAAGGTTGAGGGACTGATTACCTCATTCTCCTCCGTTCTTCAAGATTCTCCTTTGTATGGACTGATGAAGCCACTGTGTGGCGAAACGTTTCCTCAATAAAGATACCCAAGAGTTGCACATGTGTCTAATTTAGGTTAAGGATTCCTAACTTTCTCTCTCTCTCTCTCTCTTTGATACCTCAACCATGCCTCACACACCACAGCCAGCCTCAAAACACTACAACCCAGCCTCACACACCACAATCCAGCCTCACACACACCACAGCCCAGCCTCACACACCACAGCCCAGTCTCACACACCACAATCCAGCCTCATACCCCACAATCCAGTCTCACACACCACAGCCCACCTCACACACTACAACCCACCTCACAACCACAACCACCTCACCACCACGCCCAGCCTCACCACCACAGCCCAGGATCACACACACAACCCACCCACCCCCCCCCAACCCACCTCACACCCCCACAACCCACCCACACACCCAACCCAGCCTCACCCAAACTCAACCCAGCCTCACCACCAAACCCAACCCCAAACAAAAACCCCCATCCCCCCTCACACACCCAACAAGCCTCCACACCACAACCCACCCACACACCACACCCCAGCCCACACACCACCCCAGCCTCACACATCACAACCCCCCCTCTCACCCCAAAACCCCGGGCCAAAAACCCCAAAACCCCCTCACAACCACAACCCACCTCACACCACAACCCAGCCTCCACCCCACAACCCCCCCTTCACACCACAACCGAGCCTCACAACCTCCCCAGCCTCACACACCACAACCCAGCCTCACACACCACAACCAACCCTCAACCCCCAACAACCCCTCACACCCACAACCCACCTCACACAATAAACCCAACCTCACACACTACAACCCAGCCCCACATCAAACCAACCTCACCACACCACCCAGCCTCACAACCACAACCCCGCGTTACACACCACAACCCAGCCTCACACACCACACCCCCTCACACTCACGGGCCCAGCCTCACACGTCACAACCATCTACACACCACAACCCACCCTTACACACCACAATCACCCTCACACACCACAATCCCCTCACACAACCACAACCAACCTCCACACCACACCCACCCACCACCACAGCCCACCCCCAAAAGTCACAACCCGTCCCCCCACAAAACACCTTCCACCAAAACAAAGCTCACACAAAATAACCCACCCACACACCAAAACCCCGCTTACCACCACAACCCACCTCACCCCACAATCCAGTCTCACAAACCAAGCCCAGCCTCCACCCCAAAACCCCACCTCATACACCACAACCAGCCTCAACACCACAGCCCCCCCACACACCACCCCCATCCACAACCACACCCCAGCCCACCCACCACAACCCCCAGCCTCACCCCACACAATCCACCCCCACACCACAACCCACCTCACACATCACAACCCATCTCACAAAAAACCAAAACCCCCTGACAAACCACAACCCAGCGACACCCACAACCCACCTCACACCAAAACAAAACACCCTTTGACACACCAAAAACCCAGCCTCCCACACCACAACCAGCGTTACACCCACAACCCAGCCTCAACCACAAAACAGCCTGACACCCCAAAAAACCCAGGCCCCCCCCCCCCAACCACCACACCCCACCTCACACCCCACACCCAAAAAAAAAAACCTCACCACCCCCCCAAAAAACCCACCCCTCACACACCAAAAAACCCACCCAAAAAACCACAACCCAAAACCCCCCCCCTCACCCCCAAATTCTTACAAAAGGGTTTTTAAATAAATTTCATGGCTTACGTTTTTGGGTTTTGGTTCGATAATTACATCTCAGGTTCAACTCGGGTTCAAGTGTTGAAGAAGGGGGTTTCACTTTTTTCAGAGGAAAATAAACTGAAGCTTCGCATAGATTTTTTTGGGGGGGGAGTGTGAAAGGGATTTAGCGTAGGGAAAGGTCACCAGCTTTTATAGGGGCAGCCATTTAAGGGGAAAATTTTTTCACATTCAGGAACAAGGAAAAAGGAGATTTAATAAAGAAAAGGAAAGGTAGGAAACGATTCCTGTTCTCTAAGACGGTGACTTCAGGGGTTTTAGTGGGGTTTAGTACACGTCCCCTGAAAATCAAGGTAAGAAATTTTAGGCGATTCTCAGGTAAGAATAGGACCGTGCATTTTGTCCCCGAGACAGAAAGGCGACAAAAAGTGAAAAATGTAAAAAGTAATTTTATTCAGGATACACAAATACATTTTAACATAAATTATCATAAAAACAGCATATGTGTAGAGAACCGGGAACCCCCCAAAAAAATCACAAGTACTTATTTCCATTGGGTCCTTTTACTTTTTAATTATAA